CAGTGTAAGCGTTCAAGCAAACCACTTCTGAAGATGCAAGCCACTCGTGCTTGCGAAACGTCAGGAAGAAATTCCATTTTACGACGGCCTAAAAAACCCACTAGTTTCAATAAATTGCCTCGAAGGTATATTTCTTTTGATAAGGCCATTATGTGATATTCTCTATTTAGAACGATATTCTCAAAAAATATACAGGGCGCCATCCAATCTATCGTACCACTCTCCCGATGTTCCGAAAACTGTAACCTAACTTTCTCATTTCAAGTGCAAAAGTAGTAGTTGTTGCATTACGAAATTGGCAATTTTTGGTGCAAAAGATCGCATTATGAGGAGCGTTTTGGCAAAGTTCAACAATTAATTTCCATCAAAGCCACTGAACCAATCGAACTCAAATATACAGAGTGTTTAATGTTGCGCTTCTTTTAGTCATGTATAACTCTTTTACTGTTAGTAAACCGAGAAGTTTTGTATCTACAAGGTTTCTAAAGAAAATGAAAATATGTGCAAGCAGATGCGAAAAAACGCGCACTTAGTTAAGAAGTTCTTTGGCGCTGCGGCTAAAAGACGTTGCAAATAGATTCCAGGGCATAGTTGAGAAAAACCGTCGATGTAATCGATTAAACGGATTTTTAGGTAAATCGTGAAGCAAAAGAGCGGCTCGCAGGGCAAAACGTCCGGCAACAAGCGATTAGCAATAATTTAATAGATAATGCGCGCCGATTTGGCTCGGACGCGCCAAGTTATATCTCCTATTATAATAAACACGTACGTTTTTCAGTTTCACACCACAGTGTCTGTAAATGTAGGTTTATTATAAAAGGCCAAACAAAATCGTGAAGCCGATACGATCGGGCGCGGCTCTCGCAAAGCCCGCGACCCAACAGTATTGAAAATTGTTATCGGGGCAGCGCATCGGGGCCCCCCTTTAAAAAAGGCCGGTGTTAATTTTAGCCCCTTTATCTCGCAACAAGTGTTTTTGGTCTCGCTGCCTCGAAAATTGTAATTAAAATTTTTCCAAAGATTTATCTCTTCGGAAAAAATTGCATGGTAAACATGTTTTCGATGATTTATGGTATCGGGTACCTTCGGGCCATCTGCATGCTTTGGGTAAACCTTATGCATCACCGATATTCGATTAGATTTATCCGTTTTGGGTCTTTCGAGACGACTTTTTTGTTTTTTACGGTTTTACTGTTTCAAAAATCAAGTGTTTGCGACTTCGAAACACCACGCTCTCAAGCGAGTAGAAGAGGAAAAGTGGACAGCCCTCAAACACAATTAATTATCCTTTTACTTGAATAATTACTTATTAATCTGATCTGGGCCTTATCGGATCGGATTCGATCGCCTGGAGCGCCCTAATCGATCTATATCAGTTACGCGGCCCGATTCTATTATGGTCGATCTTATTAGGCTGATATTGTAATACCTGCTTACCAGTGCTTTACCATTAGAAACTCACAGCCGAATTGTGCATATTCTATTTGCGGCGCTCTGATATGAGCAGACGCAAAATGTGTCCAAAACCCCTCTTTTTTTAATTTCAATTAAGTCGAATAAAGCCGATAATCCAAGATGTTTAAAATTATGCATCTACTATCCAGCACTGGAATTGATAGTGCGATCAGGATCATTTCTCCTCGAATGTGTTTTAGACGCAGATGATAGCAGACCTGGCAAACCAGTCGAGTCTTTAGACGATCAACTTCAAAAATTGATTCTAATAAAACCAGGCGATGAAATGAAACTAAATATCCAGGGTATCTAAAAAGGAGCTTCTACTATTCAATTCTGAAATATATGGGCAGATATCTGAGCCATGGCTTTTTAAATCAATTTTAGAAGAGAATGCTCTAAACATGGCGCTAGACGAAAAATTTTTTGTATTCAAAAATTCGTCTTGATGAAAGTGAGGAATCAAATCGATTCAAATTTACAGAGTTTTCAAAACTAAGATTCTGCTATCCATGTATAGCGCCAGCATTTCGATGTCTGTCTTATTTTTTGCTGATTTGAGGTTTAGAAGACGATGGCGCAAAAATGGCAAGAGCACAAGAATCTCTGCAAACT